TTCTACATCAGTGACAGGTTTGCACCCAGCCCGAGAAGGCGAAATATGCCATAGCCCATCCTCGTTTTTCACGGAACTAAACCTCCAAACATGTGAGGATGGCCTCAGTAAAGACATTGATGAGCTATCTGTTTCTTCAGATTGCAGTGTTCTGCAAACAACTGCAGACAATTTACAGAAGTTCGAAAATAAAGTAAAGATGGAAATGGCAGATGGAGAGATTTCTTGTACTTCAGATCCGTCACTTAATGAAGAAGGAAAAGAATCGTTTGTTGCAGATGGAACACCATCAGACAGAACTGACGTGAGTTCCCCGTTGCCACCAGTCCTGGCTGCCACGACTCCCCTTGCTGGAGGCTCCAAGGAAACCCAGGGAAAGCTTGTGGGTGATGACGCTTCTGTTCCATCCACTACAGATGTTACTGATGGCAGGACCAGTAACCAAAACAACATGTTAGGACACATAATCAACCGAAAGGATTCTGATGTAGAGCAATCTCTGTGTAGTATCACTGAAATAAATGTTAAGTGCAATTATTCTTCACGTCTGGTTAACATTGAAAACAGTATGACTGCTGAGGCTCACTGCCGTGAAAGTAGCAGTAATCTCTGCAATGAAATTGATAAAGCAGAATTTTGTGTGAACAAAGACAAAATAAGTATTAATGCTGACATTCCAACTGTTCTTAGTGTAAGTTGTGAAGTGAGTAGAAAGTGTCAATTCAACGCCAATGCTGATAGTAAAATGAATTTAATCGAGGCAATTAGTACTGAAAATACTGAAAGATCAGTCTTATTTGTGAACGCAGCTAACAACACGGAAAAGTTTGGTGATTCACTATATAGAGAAAATCTAAAAGAAACCGAGTATGGGGAATCAGCAGTAGATAATGAAAGTGATAAGTCAAGAAAAAATAGTGATAAAACAGTAAGTGATGAAGATATAGATTCGTCAGCACTAGATGCTACTGATGATACTGCAGGGGAAACGCTTGTTGAAATGCTGGAAGAAAATGAGACGGTAGTTGAAGAACACAAGGCATTAGGCCACCCATCGTCACTCACTGACGATGATGAAATGCAAGTTGATACATTCACAACCAATGTTTCGGAACAAGTTGATGTATCAGATGATTTATCACCACTGGATGATTTTGAAGAGCCAGGGAATAAAAATTTGCAAGTGGTTAAGGATGAAGGAAGCAAGAAACTGACTGACACATCAACAGATGAAGCTGCAGTAAATGACATTTTGCCAACAGAAAACAGTGTTAAACAGTGTTCGATAGAAGTTGCTGAAAATGATGCAAGAAGTAAAAGTTTCACCACGTCATCAAAAATGGATATTCCTGTTAATGGAGCAAGCGAGAATGATGCAGACGACTTATCAAAAGGTGAGTGTGGACTGGATGTGCCAGTACCGAGTACTGCAGAACACTGTTTCGGTGATCAAAGAGAAAAGTTACCTCTTTCACCAAATGAAAATTCAGCGAATAAAACAAATGAAGATAGTGACATATTAACACATGGTACTATTGATACAATAGCTACTCAAAGGACAATAAATGTGCATTCTGATGTTGCATCCGAAACTACTATGCTTTGCAGTTTACTGATGGATAAAACGCACGATATCGAACCTACCTGTCAAGCATCAGTCGATTCTCTAAGGATGAGCTATGAAATTGAAAACAAAGAAATCAATCACAAAATTCACCCGCGAACAAGACTTGTACCTTTGAAAGACACAGGTAAAAGCATGGAAACAGAGAATGCTGACAATTCTTTGGTTTCCATAACTAGTGAGATGGTTGAAGGCAATCCAGACCTCCCAAATTATGCACATCCTGTAAATCAAATTAAAGGCATAGATAAATTTGTTGTTTCCAATAACAAATATGTAAATGAAGAGACTTTTGATAATTACCTTTCAAAACCAGTATCTGCATTTGGAGAATATGGGTGTAGTATTTTTGCTAATAACACCAAAGTATCGGACATGTGGCAAGAATTTAATGCTTTGACTTCTCAGAGCTTGAGTGATGTGTCTGACTCAGAACCAATGAAGGGAAAATCTGATGGTAGTTTTCCTATCTTAGTAAGTCAACTATCTTCAGCTGTAAATTGCAAGGAAAGTCATAATCCTACATTACATGATGAACATGATACCCCATCAGAGAATAGCTTTGATATTTCTGAATCCAGTAACAGGTTTCAAGACTTGGAAGAGCAAACTTGGAATCCAAAGTCTGTATTAAACATTCGATATATATCATCAAGAGACGAGCCTTTAAGGCCAAACACAATATGTAATACATCTACAACTGAAGTGGGATCCAGCAGTGTATTAATAATGGAAGTTGGATCAAAGAGTGGATCACCAGCAGACGTTGGATGCAAAAGTGCATCACCATCAGTTAGATTGGAGACTGCATCACTAACAGATGTCAGATCCAGAAGTGCATCGTCAACAGAAGTAACATCCGTTAGTGAATCATCAACTGAAATTCGATCCAGGAGTACATTGCCATCAGAAGTTAGATCTAGGGGTGCATCGCCAACAGAAATTGGATCCAGGAGTGCATCGCCAACAGAAGTTAGATCCAGGAGTGCATCGCCAACAGAAGTTAGATCCATGAGTGCATCGCCAACAGAAGTTAGATCTAGGAGTGCATCGCCAACAGAAATTGGATCCAGGAGTGCATCACCAACAGAAATTAGATCCAGGAGTGCATCGCCAGCAGAAGTTAGATCCATGAGTGCATCGCCAACAGAAGTTAGATCTAGGAGTGCATCGCCAACAGAAGTTAGATCCATGAGTGCATTGCCAACAGAAGTTAGATCCAGGAGTGCATCGCCAACAGAAGTTAGATCTAGGAGTGCATCGCCAACAGAAGTTAGATCTAGGAGTGCATCGCCAACAGGAATGAGATCAAGGAGTGCATCGCCAACAGAAGTTAGATCTAGGAGTGCATCGCCAACAGAAGTTAGATCCATGAGTGCATCGCCAACAGAAGTTAGATCTAGGAGTGCATCGCCAACAGAAGTTAGATCTAGGAGTGCATCGCCAACAGAAGTTAGATCCATGAGTGCATCGCCAACAGAAGTTAGATCTAGGAGTGCATCGCCAACAGAAGTTAGATCCATGAGTGCATCGCCAACAGAAGTTAGATCTAGGAGTGCATCGCCAACAGAAGTTAGATCCAGGAGTGCATCGCCAACAGAAGTTAGATCCAGGAGTGCATCGCCAACAGGAATGAGATCTAGGAGTGCATCGCCAACAGGAATGAGATCCAGGAGTGCATCGCCAACAGGAATGAGATCAAGGAGTGCATCGCCAACAGAAGTTAGATCTAGGAGTGCATCGCCAACAGAAGTTAGATCCAGGAGTGCATCGCCAACAGAAGTTAGATCCAGGAGTGCATCGCCAACAGGAAGTTAGATCCAGGAGTGCATCGCCAACAGAAGTTAGATCCAGGAGTGCATCGCCAACAGAAGTTAGATCCAGGAGTGCATCGCCAACAGAAGTTAGATCCAGGAGTGCATCGCCAACAGAAGTTAGATCCAGGAGTGCATCGCCAACAGAAGTTAGATCCAGGAGTGCATCGCCAACAGAAGTTAGATCCAGCAGTGCATCGCCAACAGAAGTTAGATCCAGGAGTGCATCGCCAACAGAAGTTAGATCCAGGAGTGCATCGCCAACAGAAGTTAGATCCAGGAGTGCATCGCCAACAGAAGTTAGATCCAGGAGTGCATCGCCAACAGAAGTTAGATCCAGGAGTGCATCGCCAACAGAAGTTAGATCCAGGAGTGCATCGCCAACAGAAGTTAGATCCAGGAGTGCATCGCCAACAGAAGTTAGATCCAGGAGTGCATCGCCAACAGAAGTTAGATCCAGGAGTGCATCGCCAACAGAAGTTAGATCCAGGAGTGCATCGCCAACAGGAATGAGATCAAGGAGTGCATCGCCAACAGAAGTTAGATCCAGGAGTGCATCGCCAACAGAAGTTAGATCCAGGAGTGCATCGCCAACAGAAGTTAGATCCAGGAGTGCATCGCCAACGGAAGTTAGATCTAGGAGTGCATCGCCAACAGAAGTTAGATCCAGGAGTGCATCGCCAACAGAAGTTAGATCCAGGAGTGCATCGCCAACAGGAAGTTAGATCAAGGAGTGCATCGCCAACAGAAGTTAGATCCAGGCAGTGCATCGCCAACAGAAGTTAGATCCAGGAGTGCATCGCCAACAGAAGTTAGATCCAGGAGTGCATCGCCAACGGAAGTTAGATCCAGGAGTGCATCGCCAACAGAAGTTAGATCTAGGAGTGCATCGCCAACAGAAGTTAGATCCAGGAGTGCATCGTCAACAGGAATGAGATCAAGGAGTGCATCGCCAACAGAAGTTAGATCCAGGAGTGCATCGCCAACAGGAATGAGATCCAGGAGTGCATCGCCAACAGAAGTTAGATCCAGGAGTGCATCGTCAACAGGAATGAGATCAAGGAGTGCATCGCCAACAGAAGTTAGATCTAGGAGTGCATCGCCAACAGGAATGAGATCAAGGAGTGCATCGCCAACAGAAGTTAGATCCAGGAGTGCATCGCCAACAGAAGTTAGATCCAGGAGTGCATCGCCAACAGAAGTTAGATCTAGGAGTGCATCGCCAACAGAAGTTAGATCTAGGAGTGCATCGCCAACAGAAGTTAGATCTAGGAGTGCATCGCCAACAGAAGTTAGATCTAGGAGTGCATCGCCAACAGAAATTAGATCTAGGAGTGCATCGCCAACAGAAGTTAGATCTAGGAGTGCATCGCCAACAGAAGTTAGATCTAGGAGTGCATCGTCAACAGGAATGAGATCTAGGAGTGCATCGCCAACAGAAGTTAGATCCATGAGTGCATCGCCAACAGAAGTTAGATCCAGGAGTGCATCGCTAACAGAAGTTAGATCCAGGAGTGCATCGCCAACAGAAGTTAGATCCAGGAGTGCATCGCCAACAGAAGTTAGATCCGGGAGCGTATCATCAAAAAAAGATGAAGTATGGAGTGCATTCAAACAAAGTTCCAAGCATATACTACCTTCAGTTTCACTATGTTTAGATCCCTCCTCACACCTCACATCCTATCCTCACCTAGGAAACATGTCAAGTCACCCTGAACTCAAAAGGGGAAACGACTATGGATGCTGGGAAATATCAAGATCTCAAAATGATAACCAAGAAAATCCTTCTTCAGATGATACAGATCCGGAATCTTTTGATCCTCTGCCAAGCAGGAAGAGATTAAGGGCAACCGCTTCAGCTGCAGATGAGCCTGATGTGAAAATATCTAAAACCGAATTTTCATCCAGTGAACCGTCTTCTTCGAACCAGGCGTTGAAAAGGCACCAAAGTGCATCTGCGGACAGGGTGGATCCTGAGTTGGGGATGAAACGCCGAAGGTTGGATTCTTCGGTAACTGCTCCAGGGAATTCAGGTGGTTCGGGACCAAAGGAAAGCAGCGGCCGGTGTAATCCTTTGGCTGCAACTCTTGCTTCAATAATGGAAAAATACAAAAATAGACGCAATGAGCAACATAAGGGCCTCTCAAATACTGTCAGAAAATCGAAGAAATTGCCTCATTGTACAATCATCACAAGATCAATAGCAAGGCTTATATCAAAGAGATCTGCAAATCATAATTACAGCTATGTTTCTCAGAAAAAGGTAAGTAATACATAGATTTATTACATGACGTTGATGCTAATATCTTTTATAAAAAGCATATTATTTTTTTCGACCTTCAATATAGCCCCTACAAGGTATGGTAGTTGAATTGGAGCTTAGTCAAAATTAGTTATTCATTTGCGTTATTCCAAAAGTAAATGTAATGTCCGACGGGCTTTTGCTACTTCAAGATTTTATCATGAGAAGGATTTATCTGATTACTTTGGCGAAGGAAAGCAAAAAAATAACTACAGTTCTTTCATCATCACAGATGGAAGTATTCAAAGCTGCAGCAGACGGAGATCTGAAGAAGGTTCAGAAAATGATCCGAGACACAGGACCTGCCCTGAGGGAAGATCAGACCGGCTTTACACTCCTTCACGCCGCTGCTGCCAATAACCAACCAGATGTAGTAATGTTTCTCTTAAAGCTGATCGACCCAAATATAACCAACAACCAGGGGCAGACTCCTGCTCACGTGGCTGCTATCAATGGTCACATTCAAGTGCTGAGGATTTTGTTATCCGACGAAGAAATTAACCATGAAAAGAAGGATAACTTCAGAATGACTTATAAAGACCTGGTAATCATCAAATTGTTGTGCTAATACACAAAGCATAAACATCTTTGAGATAGTGTAAATTGGAGACATAATGTGCAGAATTTCTTTCCTGTTCAATAATTATTGTTGTTCCCATAAACAGATGTGTGTACCACTGATCGAGGCGGTTCTGCAAGGCAACATCGCCATGGCTCATGAGGTGCTGCAGCTGGGTGCTGACCCAGACTGCTACATTGGCCACTTGATGAAGGATGTACTGGAGACTGAACTGCACTTTGACACGCCTCGTCAACTTGGCCATAAAACCAACCAAGAACACATCATAAACCACTTTAACCAGGTAATTCTTCTTAGTATGATTAAGTCTTAGGTACAAATCATGAAAAGAACCATACATTTCTAATGTATACAACGATACATATTGCTCATACATTCTCGTCCTTGCAGACATGCGGTAAAATGAGATCAAGAAATACTACAACACAGGATAGTGCTGCAGTCCCCCTGTGGAATACCAAGGGCCAGCCCCTGGTGAGAATAACCAATCTTGCATTGATGCTTGTCTCGACATGCAATTATTAGAATTTATACATATTTAGTCATTTGCTGAAAAAATAATTTTTGTAAATTCCTTTCACAGAGAAGTCCGCCAAGCCCTACTGTAGCAGCAGAAACACAGTTCGCGAGAACGAACGTTTTCAGGGAGGATTCAAATTGTAGAGGTTTTGTGTGCATTCTTAACTACAACTCGTTTTGTGGTCGCCCAGATCTGAGTTTCGAGACCGCGACGAAAAACATTTCAGATTTATCAAGCGTATTTCAGGAAATGGGATATTCTGGTCGTACCTTCACTTCTCTGACCGCAGACGAAACCAAAAAGGCTTTGGCCGATATTAGAGACATGGATATCCTTGATGAAGTTGGGTGCGCTGTCTTCATCGTTACTAGCCACACAACAAGGAAGGATAACTTTTTAACTTCTGATCTCAGACTGCTGGGAACTGAATGGCTTCAGGAGTTGTTTAAGGATTCAGAGTGTCCTAAACTCAGAAATAAACCCAAATTATTTATTTTTGACTTACACTGCGGGCGGTTTAGAGAACAGTATAAGTACTTGCAAGCCCCAAGCAAGATAAAAAGATTCGGTGAACCATTGCAAGATATGATGTGCCTGCATTCCATCACTAAAGCAGGTAGCTTTGTCAAGGATAGGTCTCCGTTTAGCGCAGCCCTCTGTGCCACTTTAGAGCGCTGTGCTCACGACAAGGACTTGGGAGAGGTGTACAGGGAGCTCGTGCAGGAGTGCGCCAACACCTCACCGACGTCAGTGCTCGAGCTAAGGACCTTTGGCTTTACTAAGGAGTTTTTCTTCCGCTCAGAAACCCATTCCTCTGGCCCAGGATGAATGCTAACCAGCAAAACTGCAACCCGGTGCACTCAAATTCTTACTGCTATATGACACTTCTATTACGAAATCATATAATGCGCTTGAAGAGAGCTAACGCTGTAGATTAGTTGATCGCAGATTATATTATTGATATTTTCAAGATATTTTTCACCATGATATACTGTGTGTATTATTTATTGAGTATATAAGGATATGCCATTTTGTGTTTAATATCCTGTAATCATTATCAAAACATCAAAAGCATTTGTGAAAAGCATAATAAATTGCACACACACATACATATATACACACATTCATAGGTAAATAGATTGACAGAGATATCAGTATACATACATGTATATGTACAGCTGTAGAATTATATTTCAGTACACTTGCTGGGTCCCACTTTTGTACATATGGAAACAACATCGATGTAAACATTGAGTAAATAGTATTTTCATGAATGAGCCGAAAACCCTAAGCTGTTTGTAACAAGGAGTGTGATTGGTAGAATATAAAAGACCAAGTGTTTTAGTATCTATTTTTGGAAACTACGTAAACCATTTAATTTTTCTTTTTCCTCAGACAATTGATAACAAAACATGTAGTATTACCTACCACTGACTGTTGTGGGATATTTTTTAAATTGCGATTTCCTGGAATTGTTAGTTTATCGAAATGGCAACACCTATGGAGGAGAGGCAGTATGTCCCCCTTTTTTAAACAATAATTTTCAACTAAAGCTGCATATTTCTTGAAACATAAAAACGCTTCATTCTTTAAACGTCTGTGTATGGCAGTTAAATCAAATAAAAAATCTTTGCAAAAATCGTTGATACCTTTATATATGCTCTTCGTGCGCCATGGCTACACCATCTAGTAGCGGTTAATCGAACTAACGAAGGGTTTTTTCTTTTCGACATTAAACATTGATTAAATAAACAGAAAACATGTTACATATTCTTTTTTATAGAACATAATTTGGACGCAAACCCGCAGTAAAGTTACAATGAATATACTGATGATTTATCATTGTGTGTGTATGTGTGTGTGTGTGTGTGCATATAACAAACACACACACACACACACACATACACACACACACACACACACACATATATATATATATGTATATATTTATGTATGTGTATATATATATATATATATATATATATATATATATATATATATATATATATATATATATGCATATATATATGTATGCATGAGTGTGTGTTTGTATGCATGTATCTGTATCTGTCTATCTATTTATCTATCTATATAAATAAATAAACATATATATATATATATATATATATATATATATATATATATATATATATATGTATATATATACATATTTATATATACTTTTCTAGACCTTGGGTGGAGTGGCAGTTGCGACCTGTATAGATATTCAAATCGTCGGGTTGCATTATCATCAAGCTTTCATGTGTATCTTAAAAACAACACTTCTACATCAACTATGTCTTGCCTTTAGTATCTGAAAGATTTCTAAATTGACTTTTTAGTTCCTTAATCCACATTTAAAAAAAAAATACAACGGAGAAGAAGAAGGAAATTCAATCCATCAATGATTTTACGATTTTTGTTCCGTTTTGAAACTCACTCTGCCTTCCGAGAAGCGGCGAGCTCCTGATACCGCTTGATAAGGACGGAAGTCCGCTTGGTGTCAGTACTCCTCCAGAAACATTAATGATGTGATAAAACACACACACACACACACACACACACACACACACACACACACACACACACACACACACACACACACACACGCACACACACACACACACACGCACACACATACATACACACACACACACACATATATATATATACATACATATATATATATATATATATATATATATATATATATAAATATACATATATATATATATATATATATATATATATATATATATATATATATATATATATATATGATATATATGTACATACATATAAATAGATAGATAGATAGATGCGTGTGTGTGTGTATATACATACACACATATATATGTAAATATATATATATATATATATATATATATATATATATATATATATATATATATATATATGCATATATATATATATATATATATATATATATATATATATATATATATATATATATATGCATATATATATATATATATATATATATATATATATATATATATATATATATATATATATATATATGCATATATATATATATATATATATATATATATATATATATATATATATATATATATATATGCATATATATATATATATATATATATATATATATATATATATATATATATATATATAT